TCAGCCGAATCGACTTCGATGTGACCGAGCTCGAGAGTTCTGAAGTTTGGTGGGGACCCCCCAAACCAGTGGTTGATTTCCACACAGGCGGCGCGCCGCACGTCGAGGAGGTCAACACGAAGGGCTTCGTCGTCGGCGAGCACGCGAGGGACGGCGGCATCGACTCGTTCTTCACGGACTACGGCGCCGTGGAGAGCCTGCTCGAGCTCGCGGGCGTCAACGAGTTCCCCGAGGCCGCCGCCTACCAGGCCGCGCTCGACGCGGCGATCTGCGAATTCTGCGGGTCGCGCGACGGGACGCCGAAATGTGCCGAGGACGAGGTCGCGGCGATGGCGCGCGCGGTCCACGAGGAGGCGCACGCGGGGCCCGACTGGTACCGCCTCTACCCGCCTTTGACCTGCCACGCGCGCGACGGCACCTGCGCGCCGCCGGCGCCGCCGCGGTCCAAGGGCGGCCGCGGCGGCGAGGCCGCGTCGGACTGGCCCGACCAGTTCAAGCTCACGGAGGCGCACCTCGCCGCGTTCGTCGAGTCGCGGCTCGACAAGGCCGTCCGCGAGTTCCTCGAGGCGACGGACACGTCGCGCATCCACGGCCGCGTCGTCGTGCCGGGCCACGGCCGCTGGCCGCCGCGCTGAGTGCTAATGTTTTGTTACAACGCGACGTGGGGGCGGGCGCCGTGTCCTCGTCGGCGTAAAGACTTAGGCTATACGCGCGCGTCGAGGGCCGCGAGGCTCCCTATAGCTCTCTCGTCGCCCTTGGCAGCGGCGCGCTCGAACCAGTATCTGGCTTTGCCGAGGTCGACTTCCGTGCCAAGTCCGTCCCTGTAACAATTGCCAAGGTTGAGCTCTCCAAGGGTAAAGCCTTGATCCGCCGCGAGCGCGCAGTACCGGACCGCTTCTTCAAATTTCTTCTCAGAATCAAGTAAAAACGCCAGACTGTTTTGCGCGAACGCGTCGCCTCGATCCGCGGCCATGCGAAACAGCTGCAACGCCTTCTTCTTGTCCAGCTTGACGCCCAACCCATCGCGGTACAATTCCCCAAGATGTTTCATCGCGTCCACGTTCCCGAGCTCCACGGCGCGCCGGTAAATTTTCGCTGCTTTCTTTTCAGATTTCACGAGGCCCAACCAACCGCGTTTGTACACACTTCCCAAACAAGCAATCGCTTCCGGCACCTCGTTCTCCACATGGCGGCGAAGACGCGCGAGCTGCTCCGCATCGGTTTCTGGGTGCGGTATGCGACAGAGGGGACACGGCTCGAATCCGATCTTTTTATCGCACGATTGGCAGACCCTCCGGCAGCAACAGACGCGAAGCACGCCCAGAGCATTCACGTCCCATTCCTCGAGACAGATCGGGCACCGCGACCCGTACCGCGCCGACGTCGGCTCGGGCTCCGGGTTCGCCTCGCGCCGCACGCGTGCCGCCTCGTGCTCCGCCGCGATGCGCGCGCGGATCTCGTCGGCGTGCGACCGCGGCGCGGGGCCGTAGAACACCTCGGGCGTGGGCGTCGGGGCTTCCGCCCGCGCCGTCTCCGCGGCTTGGATCTTCTTGCAGACCTTCCGGTGGCCCCGGTCGCGCCAGTCGATGCGTTGGCACTCCGTCGAACAGTAGGCCGTCGTGCCGCATCCTTGGCACGCCTTGGCTTTGTAAACGCCGCAGATCGTGCAGGTCTTGAGAGTGTCGAGTTTTTTGCCCCTCGCTCGGGCCATGCGATTCTCATACTCCAACTTCTTCTCCTGCCACGACATGTCTCGGCGCGTCCTATCGCCGCCAGCTCTCGACTCGGCTTTCGCGTGCTCGAAGGCAAAATCGCTCAAAATCCCCCTAAGCCCGCCCCTAGAGCATCGCGTTCGTATCGCTCTCCATGCCCCCCTCGGCGGCGGCGTCGGCCTTGCGCCAAGCGAGCTTGGCGTTCAGAAATGCCAGGCACCAGACCGCGAAGGTCGGCGCGGAGAGGAACGCGGCGACGATGACGCCAAGGCCAAGCACGACTCGCCCGAGCGCAAGCGCAGCATCTCGGGCTCGGGCGACGACGCGGCGTAAAGATTGTTAGACTATACTTGCGCGTCGAGACGCGCGAGGGACTGTGTCGCTTTCTCGTGGCCCTTGGCAGCGGCGCGCTCGAACCAGTATCTGGCTTTGCCGAGGTCGACCTCCGTGCCTTTTCCGCGCTCATAACAGCAGCCAAGGTTGTTCTCCGCATTGGTATAGCCTTGATCCGCCGCGAGCGCGTAGTACCGGAACCCTTCTTCATGTTTCTCCTCAGAATGAAGGCGAATCCCTAAATTGAATTGCGCGACCGCGTGGCCCCGGTCTGCGGCTGCGCGATACAGCCGCTCCGCCTTCTTCTTGTCCAGCTTGACGCCACTTCCAGTTTCGTACGAGTACCCAAGTCTGACCATTGCCTCCACGTTCCCGAGCTCCACTGCGCGCTTCCAAATCTTCGCGGCTTTCTTATCGGATTTCACGAGACCGTACCGACCTTCGCAGTACGCGTCTCCCAAAAACCTAATCGCTTCCGGCACCTCGTTCTCCACATGGCGGCGAAGACGCGCGAGCAGCTCCGCATCGTCATTTGGGCATGATATCCGACAGAGAGGGCACGCGCCGAAGCCGATCTTGCGCTCGCACGACTTGCAGACCTTTCGGCAGCAACAGATGCGAAGCATGCCCGGAGTATTCACGTTCCACTCCTCGAGACAGATCGGGCACCGCGACCCAAACCGCGCCGACGTCGGGTCCCGCTCCGGGTTCGCCTCGCGCCGCACGCGGGCCGCCTCGTGTTCCGCCGCGATGCGCGCGCGGACCTCGTCGGCGTGCGACCGCGGCGCGGGGCCGTAGAACACCTCGCGCGGTGGCGACGGCGGGGGCGGCGGCGCCTCGGCCCGCGCCGCCTCCGCGGCCTGGATCTTCTTGCAGACCTTGCGGTGGCCCCGGTCGCGCCAGTCGATGCGTTGGCAGTCCGTCGAACAGTAGGCCGTCGTGCCGCATCCTTGGCACGCCTTGGCCTTGTCGGCGCCGCAGATCGTGCAGGTCTTGAGAGTGTCGAGTTTTTTGCCCCTCGCTCGGGCCATGCGATTCTCATACTCCAACTTCTTCTCCCGCCACGACATGACTCGGTCCTTGACGGGGGGGGTCCTGCTCGATGCGATTATGCAAGGCAAAATCGCTCAAAATCTTACCCCAGGCCTAAGCCCACCCCTAGAGCGCCGCGTTCATGTAGTTCTCCATGCCCCCCTCGGCGGCGTCGTCGTCCTTGCGCCAGGCGGGCTTCGCGTTCAGGAACGCGAGGCACCAGACCGCGAAGGTCGGCGCGGAGAGGAACGCGGCGGCGCCAAGCACGACTCGCCCGCGTGCAAGCGCAGCATCTCGGGCTCGGGCGACGACGCGGCGTAAAGACTTAGGCTATACTCGCGCGTTGAGTTCCGCGAGCTCTCTTATAGCTCTCTCGTCGCCCTTGGCAGCAGCGCGCTCGAGCCAGTATCTGGCTTTGCCGAGGTCGACTTCCGTGCCGTTTCCAAATCGGTAACAGCAGCCAAGGCAATTCTCTGAAAGAGTATGGCCTTGATCCGCCGCGAGCGCAAAGCACCGGAACGCTTCTTCAAATTTCTCTTCAGAAACAAGTAAAAACGCCAGACTGGTTTGCGCGAGGTGGTCGCCCCGATCTGCGGCCATGCGATACAGCCGCTCCGCCTTCTTCTTGTCCAGCTTGACGCCACTTCCATCATCGTACATTCTCCCAAGGCTTCTCATTGCTGTCATGTTCCCGAGCTCCACAGCGCGCCGGTAAATCTTTGCCGCTTTCTTATCGGATTTCACGAGGCCGAAGTGACCGCCCTGGCTGTACGCGGTTCCCAAAAACGTAATTGCTTCTGGCACCTCGTTCTCCACATGGCGGCGAAGACGCGCGAGCTGCTCCGCATCAGTTTCTGCGCGCGGCAGACGACAGAGGGGACACGCCTCGAGTCCGATCTTGTCCTCGCACGATTGGCAGACCTGTCGGCAGCAACAGATGCGAAACAGGCTCGCCGCATTCACGTCCCACTCCTCGAGGCAGATCGGGCACCGCGACCCGAGCCGTGCCGACAGCGGCTCCCGCTCCGGATTCGCCTCGCGTCGCACGCGGGCCGCCTCGTGTTCCGCCGCGATGCGCGCGCGGACCTCGTCGGCGTGCGACCGCGGCGCGGGGCCGTAGAACACGTCCCGCGGCGGCGACGGCGGGGGCGTCGGCGCCTTCGCGCGCTCTGCTTCCGCCGCCCGCTCCGCCTGGATCTTCTTGCAGACCTTGCGGTGGCCCCGATCGCGCCAGTCGATGCGTTGGCAGTCCGGCGAACAGTAGGCCGTCGTGCCGCAACCTTGGCACGCCTTGGCCTTGTCGGCGCCGCAGATCGTGCAGGTCTTGAGAGTGTCGAGTTTTTTGCCCCTCGCTCGGGCCATGCGATTCTCATACTCCAACTTCTTCTCCTGCCACGACATGACTCGGCTTGGGCGCGTACGTCGTCTCTGACTCGCCTCGCGATCGGCAATGCCCTAATCGCTCAAAATTGCCTCATTGGCCCTCAAGGAGGTCAACCAACTTGGAATTGACAAATACTTAATTTTTCCGCCACACAAGCACGGCCGCCGCGCTTGCGTGCTAATTTTTTGTGTTACAGCGCGACGTGGGGGTCGGGCGCCGTGTCCTCGTCGGACTCCGCCGCGGCCCCCCCGTCGTCCTCGGACTCGGTCTCGTCGCTGAGGCCCTCCTCCTGGATGAACATGTTGAGGATCTCCTCGGGCGGCTCCTCCACCACTCCTTCGCCGTCGTCGCTCTCGCGCTCGTCCGGCTCCGCGGCGGCCGCGCGGCGCTCGACGTCCGCGCGCGCGATGAGCACGGACCGGAACCAGTCGTCCGGCGGCGCGTCGTCGGGTCCCGCCGGTATTCGCGCGACGGCCGGCGGCGGCGGCAGGCCCAGGTTGTTGCCGAGCGCCTCGAGCTGCACGCGGCTCGCGGCCGTCGACTCCGCGAGGCCCCGGATGAGCCGGCTCTCGGCCGCGGGCACGCGCGCGTCGGACGCCTGCGCGGCGCGCGCGAGCCACTCGGCGTGGGAGTGGAGCGTCGCCGCCTCGCGGCGGAGCCGGTCGAGCGCCGCGTCGTCCGGCCCGTGGCGGCCGTCGAGCGGGTGGAGATCCACCGCGTGCTCGATCCGCGCGACGCCCCAGGGGTCGGTGACGTGGAGCGCCGCGGCGACGACGCCGACGAGGAGCTGGCGCGACGGCGCGAGCGGCGGCGCGGCGCCGGCCTCGGCCGCCGCGAGCTTCGCCGCGAGGTACCGCTCGACGGCGCCGACGTCCGGCGCGCCGTCGAGCGGCGCGGGCTCGAGCGCGAGCGTGACGA